GAGGATGGGTTGCGCAGTAACTGGGATATGAAAGAGAATGGGTTGTGCAGTACCTGGGTTATGAAAGGAAATGGGTCATGCAGTACCTAGGATATGAAAGGGAATGGGTTGTGCAGTAACTGGGATATGAAAGGGAATGGGTTGTGCAGTTTCTGGGATGTGAAAGGGAATGGGTTGTGCAGTTTCTGGGATGTGAAAGGGAATGGGTTGTGCAGTACCTGGGATATGAAAGAGAATGGGTTGTGCAGTAACTGGGATATTAAAGAGAATGGGTTGTGCAGTACCTGGGTTATGAAAGGAAATGGGTCGTGCAGTACCTAGGATATGAAAGGGAATGGGTTATGCAGTAACTGGGATATGAAAGGGAATGGGTTGGGCAGTTTCTGGGATGTGAAAGGGAATGGGTTGTGCAGTAACTGGGATATGAAAGGGAATGGGTTGTGCAGTTTCTGGGATGTGAAAGGGAATGGGTTGTGCAGTACCTGGGATGTGAAAGGGAATGGGTTGTGCAGTACCTGGGATATGAAAGGGAATGGGTTGTGCAGTTTCTGGGATGTGAAAGGGAATGGGTTGTGCAGTACCTGGGATGTGAAAGGGAATGGGTTGTGCAGTACCTGGAATGTGGAAGAGAATGGGTTGTGTAGTACCTGGGATATCAAAGTGAATGGGTTGTGCAGTACCTGGGATATGAAAGGGAATAGGGTGTAAAGTATTTGGGATATAAAAGGGAATGGGTTGTTTGGTAACTGGGATATGAAAGGGAATGGGTTAATTGTGCAGTAACTGGGATATGAAAGGGAATGGGTTGTGCAGTAACTGGGATACAGAAGGGGTGGGTTGTGCAGTAACTGGGATGTGGAAGAGAAAAGATTTTGCAGTACCAGAGATATGGAAGGGGATGGCTCAGGCAGTACCTGAAATATTAAAGCCTAAAAAGAATGCCTTGGGCAGTATCTGGGACACAGAAGAGATTGGCTCTGACAGTACCTGGGATACGGAAGGGATCCCCGTGGGCAGAACCTGTCATACAATTAAGGTAGAGATGCAGTTTACCTGACAGGTATTTTAATTATTAATTAGGAAACCAAGATGACCTCCCTTGTCCACAAAACTATATATTTTCTGAAAGCTTATTGTATGAATTTAAAAATTTTGTTAGTATTTTTTTCATGGACACTGTAGTTTGAAATATGCACAAAGTGTGCTTTTTTGGTCAAAAATGATTTTAAAAAAATTAGCTTCTAAACCATGCTTCTATTTTCTGTCAAAATTGGTTCATGGGTACATCTGTTTACTATGAAGAAAGTGCT